TCCTCCCCCCTTCACAGTATATGGGTACTTTCCTCCCCTTCACAGTATACGAGTACTTTCCTCCCCCCTTCACAGTATACGAGTACTTCCCTCACCCCCTTCACAGTATATGAGTACTTCCCTCACCCCCTTCACAGTATATGAGTACTTCCCTTACACTCTTCACAGTATATGAGTACTTCCCTCACCCCCTTCACAGTATATGAGTACTTCCCTTACACTCTTCACAGTATATGGGTACTTTCCTCCCCCCTTCACAGTATATGGGTACTTTCCTCCCCCCTTCACAGTATATGGGTACTTTCCTCCCCCCTTCACAGTATATGGGTACTTTCCTCCCCCTTCACAGTATATGGGTACTTTCCTCCCCCCTTCACAGTATATGGGTACTTTCCTCCCCCCTTCACAGTATATGGGTACTTTCCTCCCCCCTTCACAGTATATGGGTACTTTCCTCCCCCCTTCACAGTATATGGGTACTTTCCTCCCCCCTTCACAGTATATGGGTACTTTCCTCCCCTTCAAAGTATATGGGTACTTTCCTCCCCCTTCACAGTATATGGGTACTTTCCTCTCCCCTTCACAGTATATGGGTACTTTCCTCTCCCCTTCACAGTATATGGGTACTTTCCTCCCCCTTCACAGTATATGAGTACTTTCCTCCCCCCTTCACAGTATATGAGTACTTCCCTCACCCCCTTCACAGTATATGAGTACTTCCCTCACCCCCTTCACAGTATATGAGTACTTCCCTTACACTCTTCACAGTATATGAGTACTTCCCTCACCCCCTTCACAGTATATGAGTACTTTCCTCACCCCTTCACAGTATATGAGTACTTTCCTCACCCCTTCACAGTACATGAGTACTTTCCTCACCCCTTCACAGTACATGAGTACTTTCCTCACCCCTTCACAGTATATCAGTACTTCCCTCACCCCCTTCACAGTATATCAGTACTTTCCTCACCCTCTTCACAGTATATCAGTACTTTCCTCACCCCTTCACAGTATATGAGTACTTCCCTCACCCCCTTCACAGTATATGAGTACTTCCCTCACCCCCTTCACAGTATATGAGTACTTCCCTTACACTCTTTACAGTATATGAGTACTTTCCTCCCCCCTTCACAGTATATGAGTACTTTCCTTATCCCTTCCCAGTACATGAGTACTTTCCTCCCCCCCTTCACAGTATATGAGTACTTTCCTCACCCCTTCACAGTACATGAGTACTTTCCTCACCCCTTCACAGTATATGAGTACTTTCCTCACCCTCTTCACAGTATACGAGTACTTCCCTCACCCCCTTCACAGTATATGAGTACTTCCCTCACCCCCTTCACAGTATATGAGTACTTCCCTCACCCCCTTCACAGTATATGAGTACTTTCCTCACCCCTTCACAGTATATGAGTACTTCCCTTACACTCTTCACAGTATATGAGTACTTTCCTCACCCCCTTCACAGTATATGAGTACTTTCCTCACCCCTTCACAGTACATGAGTACTTTCCTCACCCCCTTCACAGTATATGAGTACTTTCCTCACCCCCTTCACAGTATATGGGTACTTTCCTCACCCTCTTCACAGTATGAGTACTTTCCTCACCCCCTTCACAGTATATGAGTACTTCCCTCACCTCTTCACAGTATACGAGTACTTCCCTACTTCCCATCTTGGGTGACGTTGTATTATACAATACACTGAGGTATTGTATTTAATACATCGTACAAATACATTTTGCTCATAAATGCAAACATTTGCCTCCAAATATTATTCTATTCTTAAATACAGTAAAAAATACAATAGTCAGAATACAGTTCAATAGATCACTTACCGCCCTTCAGTTTGCTCTACATAATACATCCAAATACAACAGCCTAATGTAGCAACAACGCCACATACAATACTGTAGTGCATGACAGACTGGACCCAAATGTAACTTGGTCGATTGGAAAATTTTGTCTTGGAGAATACATTCAGTGTTTGTATTGTATGGGGCGTGTATGGGTGTATGGGGCGTGTATGGAGTGTGTATGGGTGTATGGGGCGTGTATGGGTGTATGGGGCGTGTATGGGTGTATGGAGCGTGTATGGAGTGTGTATGGAGCGTGTATGGGTGTATGGGGCGTGTATGGAGTGTGTATGGGTGTATGGGGTGTATGGAGTGTGTATGGGTGTATGGGGCGTGTATGGAGTGTGTATGGGTGTATGGGGTATGGGGCGTGTATGGATGGGGCGTGTGGAGTGTGTATGGAGCGTGTATGGGTGTATGGGGCGTGTATGGGTGTATGGGGCGTGTATGGAGTGTGTATGGGTGTATGGGGCGTGTATGGAGTGTGTATGGAGCGTGTATGGGTGTATGGGTGTATGGGGCGTGTATGGAGTGTGTATGGAGTGTATGGGGTATGGGGCGTGTATGGAGTGTGTATGGGTGTATGGGGCGTGTATGGAGTGTGTATGGGTGTATGGGGCGTGTATGGAGTGTGTATGGGTGTATGGGGCGTGTATGGGTGTATGGGGCGTGTATGGAGTGTATGGGGCGTGTATGGAGTGTGTGTATGGGTGTATGGGGCGTGTATGGAGTGTGTATGGGTGTATGGGGCGTGTATGGGTGTATGGGGCGTGTATGGAGTGTATGGGGGTGTATGGGGTGTGTATGGGGTGTGTATGGGTGTATGGGGCGTGTATGGGTGTGTATGGGTGTATGGGGCGTGTATGGAGTGTGTATGGGTGTATGGGGCGTGTATGGGTGTATGGGGCGTGTATGGGTGTATGGGGCGTGTATGGGTGTGTATGGGGCGTGTATGGAGTGTGTATGGGTGTATGGAGTGTATGGGTGTATGGGTGTATGGAGTGTGTATGGGTGTATGGAGCGTGTATGGGTGTGTATGGAGCGTGTATGGGTGTATGGGGCGTGTATGGAGTGTGTATGGGTGTATGGAGGTGTATGGAGTGTGTATGGGTGTATGGGGCGTGTATGGAGTGTGTATGGGTGTATGGGCGTGTATGGAGTGTGTATGGGTGTATGGGGCGTGTATGGAGCGTGTATGGGCGTGTATGGAGTGTGTATGGGTGTATGGGGCGTGTATGGAGTGTGTATGGAGTGTGTATGGGTGTATGGGGCGTGTATGGAGTGTGTATGGGGCGTGTATGGAGTGTGTATGGGTGTATGGAGTGTGTATGGGTGTATGGGGCGTGTATGGAGTGTGTATGGAGCGTGTATGGGTGTATGGGGCGTGTATGGGTGTATGGGGCGTGTATGGAGTGTGTATGGGTGTATGGGGCGTGTATGGAGTGTGTATGGGTGTATGGGGCGTGTATGGAGTGTGTATGGGTGTATGGGGCGTGTATGGAGTGTGTATGGGTGTATGGGGCGTGTATGGAGTGTGTATGGGTGTATGGGGCGTGTATGGAGTGTGTATGGAGCGTGTATGGGTGTATGGGGCGTGTATGGAGTGTGTATGGGTGTATGGGGCGTGTATGGGTGTATGGGGCGTGTATGGAGTGTGTATGGGTGTATGGGGCGTGTATGGAGCGTGTATGGGTGTATGGGGCGTGTATGGAGTGTGTATGGGTGTATGGGGCGTGTATGGAGTGTGTATGGGGCGTGTATGGGTGTATGGGGCGTGTATGGAGTGTGTATGGGTGTATGGGGCGTGTATGGGTGTATGGGGCGTGTATGGGTGTATGGGGCGTGTATGGGTGTATGGGGCGTGTATGGAGTGTGTATGGGTGTATGGGGCGTGTATGGGTGTATGGAGCGTGTATGGGTGTATGGGGCGTGTATGGGTGTATGGGGCGTGTATGGAGCGTGTATGGGGCATGTATGGGGCGTGTATGGGTGTATGGGGCGTGTATGGGTGTATGGGGCGTGTATGGGTGTATGGGGCGTGTATGGAGTGTGTATGGGGCGTGTATGGAGTGTGTATGGGTGTATGGGGCGTGTATGGAGTGTGTATGGAGCGTGTATGGGTGTATGGAGCGTGTATGGGGCGTGTATGGGTGTATGGAGCGTGTATGGGTGTATGGAGCGTGTATGGGGCGTGTATGGGTGTATGGAGCGTGTATGGAGAGTGTATGGGGCGTGTATGGGTGTATGGAGCGTGTATGGAGCGTGTATGCGTCTATGTATCCTCCAAAGGATACCTGATCAACCAGGCTGTGACTCGTACGTCAGGCTGCGAGCAGCCGCGTCCAACAGCCTTGTTGACCAGTCCGGCAACCAGGAGGCCTGGTCGACGACCGGGCCGCGGGGACGCTAAGCCCCGGAAGCACCTCAAGGTAAGGTATGGGGCGTGTATGGGTCTATGGGGCGTGTATGGAGCGTGTATGGAGTGTGTATGGAGTGTGTATGGAGCGTGTATGGAGTGTGTATGGAGCGTGTATGGGTGTATGGGGCGTGTATGGAGCGTGTATGGGGCGTGTATGGAGCGTGTATGGGGCGTGTATGGAGCGTGTATGGGGTGTGTATGGAGCGTGTATGGGGCGTGTATGGGTGTATGGGGCGTGTATGGGTGTATGGGGCGTGTATGAGTGTATGGGTGTATGGGGCGTGTATGGGTGTATGGGGCGTGTATGGGTGTATGGAGCGTGTATGGGTGTATGGAGCGTGTATGGGGCGTGTATGGGTGTATGGGGCGTGTATGGGTGTATGGAGCGTGTATGGGGCGTGTATGGGTGTATGGAGCGTGTATGGGGCGTGTATGGGTGTATGGGGCGTGTATGGCGGGTGTATGGAGTGTGTATGGGGGGGTGTATGGAGCGTGTATGCGTCTATGGGGCGTGTATGGAGTGTGTATGGGGCGTGTATGGAGTGTGTATGGGGGTATATGGGGGTGTATGGGGCGTGTATGGGCGTATGGGGCGTGTATAAGGGTGTATGGGGCGTGTATGGGTGTAGGGAGCGTGTATGGGGGGTGTATGGGGCGTGTATGGGGCGTGTATGGGGCGTGTATGGAGCGTGTATGGGGCAAGACAGTGCTCTAGTACTCACGCTCAAGTAGTCCTTATTGATCCGCTCAACACTGTCCTGCTCCGCCTCGCTGCCCTCAAGCTCCTGAGGCAAAGAAAACGGTACCGTTAACACATCACAGAAAACGCGTCCTGGCTTATGGGTAACTCTTCAAATCTTACCTGATTTGCCCTGCGGGCCTCATACCTCTAGTGGCCTCCAATGAAGGAAAAACCAGCGGCTTGTCAAAGGTTCCTCCATTTCTCCTATTCCAGGATGTCACCCACAACAGTTCCCTAACTCACGTTCACCAGTTTACTGCCGAGTGAACAGATGAAGATCTAGGAGTTGATATCACACCAAACCTGTCTCCTGAAGCCCACATAAAGAGAATAACATCAGCGGCATATGCGAGGCTGGCTAACATCAGAACAGCGTTCAGGAACCTGTGTAAGGAATCATTCAGAATCTTGTACACCACATATGTAAGACCAATCCTGGAGTATGCGGCCCAGCATGGAGCCCGTACCTTGTCAAGCACAAGACGAAGCTGGAAAAAGTCCAAAGGTATGCTACTAGACTAGTCCCAGAACTAAGAGGCATGAGTTACGAGGAAAGGCTGCGGGAAATGCACCTTACGACACTGGGAGACAGAAGAGTAAGGGGAGACATGATCACTACTTACACAATTCTCAAAGGAATCGATCGGGTAAACAAGGATGAACTATTCAACACTGGTGGGACGCGAACAAGGGGACACAGGTGGAGACTGAGTACCCACATGAGCCACAGGGACGTTAGAAGGAACTTTTTCAGTGTGGGAGTAGTTAACAGGTGGAATGCATTAGGCAGTGATGTGATAGAGGCTATATATAAATTAATACATTAGCATATTGTGCATATATAGACACTGGTTAGGTTAGGTGCACTTACGAACATGTACATCTTTCCTCAACCTTTGACGGCTTTAGTTACATTAAACAGTTTACAAGCATGAAAACTTGCCAATCCACTGTTGTTATTGTTATAAACAGCCTCCTGGTGCTTCCGAGCTCATTAACTGTTTAATAATTGTAAACAAAGCCGCCAAAGATTGAGAACAGATGGACAGGTTTGTACGTGCTTGCGTAACCGCTTCGTGAATCTGGCCCCAGGTTCGTAAGTGCTTCGTGAATCTGGCCCCAGGTTCGTAAGTGCTTCGTGAATCTGGCCCCTGGCTCGTAAGTGCTTGCGTAACTCCTTCATTTACTGTGTATTCACCTAGTTGTACTCACCGAGTTGTACTTGCGGGGGTTGAGCTCTGCTCTTTCGGCCCGCCTCTCAACTGTCAACCGTTACTATTTTTTTCCTACACCACACACACCCCAGAAAGCTGCCCGTGACAGCCGACTAACTCCCAGGTACCTATTTACTGCTAGGTCACAGGGGTATAGGGTGAAAGAAACTCTGCCCATCGTTTTCTCGCCGGCGCCCGGGATCGAACCCGGGACCACAGGATCACGTGTCCAGCGTGCTGTTCGCTCGGCCGCCGGCTCCTGATGACTTTCTGATGGGCATTAATAGGCCTACATAAAAGCTCTTGCATTGTTAAAAAGCCTTTGTCACACATCTGACTGTGTAGTTGGAGCAGGTGTGTAACGATGGTCCAGGTGTATACAGGGCCCCACACCTGCTGTAACTACCTCTCATAACTATGGTGCAGGTGTATACAGGACCCCACACCTGCTGTAACTCTCGTAACGATGGTACAGGTGTATACAGGGCCCACACCTGCTGTAACTCTCGTAACGATGGTCCAGGTGTATACAGGGCCCCACACCTGCTGTAACTCTCGTAACGATGGTACAGGTGTATACAGGACCCCACACCTGCTGTAACTCTCGTAACGATGGTACAGGTGTATACAGGGCCCCACACCTGCTGTAACTCTCGTAACGATGGTACAGGTGTATACAGGGCCCCACACCTGCTGTAACTCTCGTAACGATGGTACAGGTGTAAACAGGGCCCCACACCTGCTGTAACTCTCGTAACGATGGTACAGGTGTATACAGGGCCCCACACCTGCTGTAACTCTCGTAACGATGGTACAGGTGTATACAGGGCCCCACACCTGCTGTAACTCTCGTAACGATGGTACAGGTGTATACAGGGCCCCACACCTGCTGTAACTCTCGTAACGATGGTACAGGTGTATACAGGGCCCCACACCTGCTGTAACTCTCGTAACGATGGTACAGGTGTATACAGGGCCCCACACCTGCTGTAACTCTCGTAACGATGGTACAGGTGTATACAGGGCCCCACACCTGCTGTAACTCTCGTAACGATGGTACAGGTGTATACAGGGCCCCACACCTGCTGTAACTCTCGTAACGATGGTACAGGTGTATACAGGGCCCCACACCTGCTGTAACTCTCGTAACGATGGTACAGGTGTATACAGGGCCCCACACCTGCTGTAACTCTCGTAACGATGGTACAGGTGTATACAGGGCCCACACCTGTAACTACCTCTCATAACTGCTACTCTAACACCTAATTACTAGTATTAATACACTCTCCATGTACTAATGCACTGTATTATGTATTAATACACTATAATGTATTAATACACAATTATATATTAATACACACTGTATTATGTATTAATACACACTATTATGCTGTTTGATTCTATTATTATTATTCCATGTTATAAATGTATGTCTGTTCAGTGTGCCTTATGTCTTGCATGTGGGGGGGGGGCTGGGGGGGGGGCAGTGTTTCCTGCCATTGTCAGCCCTTTAAAAGCTTCTGAACCATTAGCGACTCATCTTAGCTGTTAATTGGCTCATTAAACAGCCGTGGCGTGACAGGATTAGCGGTCCAGCCTTCCCATTGGATGGTTTTCTTAATCCCTCAGCGGCTCGAACCAGTGGCGCCGGGTCAACGGGTCTTCTCGAACAAGCAGCGGCTCAGTGGCACCGAGCCGTGACGTGTTGCACTAACGGAGCTCTGCACGACAGGTTATGGTTATCTTGAGATGATTTCGGGGCTTTAGTGTCCCCGCGGCCCGGTCCTCGACCAGGCCTCCACCCCCAGGAAGCAGTCCGTGACAGCTGACTAACTCCCAGGTACCTATTTACTGCTATGGTGCCTCTTTATTTATGGTGCCTCTTGGTGTGTTCAAACACGAAAACGTTCGGAATTTTCGTTTCATTTTTGTAGGGATTCACGTCAACGAATCTCAAGTGTTTGGTGACTATTCTGGCTCTCCGGGATGTGGATCCTCGGGGCCTCAGTGTCGGCAACAAGAGTAGTGGTCACACTGACTACGACCGACCACTGTCAACACCGTCCTCGGGGCCTCAGTGTCGGCAACAAGAGTAGTGGTCACACTGACTACGACCGACCACTGTCAACACCGTCCTCGGGGCCTCAGTGTCAGCAACAAGAGTAGTGGTCACACTGACTACGACCGACCACTGTCAACACCGTCCTCGGGGCCACAGTGTCAGCAACAAGAGTAGTGGTCACACTGACTACGACCGACCACTGTCAACACCGTCCTCGGGGCCTCAGTGTCGGCAACAAGAGTAGTGGTCACACTGACTACGACCGACCACTGTCAACACCGTCCTCGGGGCCTCAGTGTCAGCAACAAGAGTAGTGGTCACACTGACTACGACCGACCACTGTCAACACCGTCCTCGGGGCCACAGTGTCAGCAACAAGAGTAGTGGTCACACTGACTACGACCGACCACTGTCAACACCGTCCTCGGGGCCACAGTGTCAGCAACAAGAGTAGTGGCCACACTGACTACGACCGACCACTGTCAACACTGTCGTCAGGGCCACAGTGTCAGCAACAAGAGTAGTGGCCACACTGACTACGACCGACCACTGTCGACACTGTCGTCAGGGCCTCAGTGTCAGCAACAATAGTAGTGGCCACACTGACTACGACCGACCACTGTCAACACTGTCGTCAGGGCCTCAGTGTCAGCAACAAGAGTAGTGGCCACACTGACTACGACCGACCACTGTCAACACTGTCGTCAGGGCCTCAGTGTCAGCAACAAGAGTAGTGGCCACACTGACTACGACCGACCACTGTCAACACTGTCGTCAGGGCCTCAGTGTCAGCAACAAGAGTAGTGGTCACACTGACTACGACCGACCACTGTCAACACTGTCCTCGGGGCCTCAGTGTGGCCATCAGTGTCAGCAACAAGAGTAGTGGTCACACTGACTACGACCGACCACTGTCAACACTGTCATCAGGGCCTCAGTGTCAGCAACAAGAGTAGTGGTCACACTGACTACGACCGACCACTGTCAACACTGTCCTCGGGGCCTCAGTGTGGCCATCAGTGTCAGCAACAAGAGTAGTGGTCACACTGACTACGACCGACCACTGCCAACACTGTCGTCAGGGCCTCAGTGTCAGCAACAAGAGTAGTGGTCACACTGACTACGGTCGACCACTGCCAACACTGTCCTCGGGGCCTCAGTGTGGCCATCAGTGTCGGCAACAAGAGTAGTGGCCACACTGACTACGGCCGACCACTGTCAACACTGTCCTCGGGGCCTCAGTGTGGCCATCAGTGTCGGCAACAAGAGTAGTGGTCACACTGACTACGGCCGACCACTGTCAACACTGTCCTCGGGGCCTCAGTGTGGCCATCAGTGTCGGCAACAAGAGTAGTGGTCACACTGACTACGGCCGACCACTGTCAACACTGTCGTCAGGGCCACAGTGTCGGCAACAAGAGTAGTGGTCACACTGACTACGACCGACCACTGCCAACACTGTCCTCGGGGCCTCAGTGTGGCCATCAGTGTCGGCAACAAGAGTAGTGGTCACACTGACTACGGCCGACCACTGTCAACACTGTCGTCAGGGCCACAGTGTCAGCAACAAGAGTAGTGGCCACACTGACTACGGCCGACCACTGTCAACACTGTCCTCAGGGCCTCAGTGTGGCCATCAGTGTCGGCAACAAGAGTAGTGGTCACACTGACTACGGCCGACCACTGTCAACACTGTCCTCGGGGCCTCAGTGTGGCCATCAGTGTCAGCAACAAGAGTAGTGGCTACACTGACTACGGCCGACCACT